TTATCCAGAAGCAAACTTCTCCTCCTTCCAAAAAGCTATAGTGTAAACACTTGAAGGTTTCCTTGCCTCAAGCACCACACCACGTTGAAGGATATTACTTTTGATCAAACTTATTGATTAAAAGGGGGTAGGTCAACTCTCTTACAAGTTGATCTTGCAAGTCCTATTGTTCGGATCTTGCAGTTGTTGAAGAAGCTTGCCCTTTGAAGGAACAACAAAGCCAGCACGAGTGCAGTAGCAACATTGGTCTTGTGAAGATATACCGTGCAGAAATTCACACAAGTGTAACTGTTGGTTCTTTATTCAACAACCAACTACATAGTGGATTTTGAGGACGTAGAAGGATTACCCCACCTTCGAACCTCGTTAAAGTTTGCGTGTCTCTCTCTCTTATCTTTATTCTTACTTGCAATTATATTAACTGTGAAAACTAACCTATCCATATTAATTACTGCTCACTCCACCCACAAAATTCCGCACACAATCTAAAGTTCACAAGGACTCTAGATTAACACTCATTTTCTCGTTTTCAAAAGAAACGAAAAAGATTTTAAACTTGTAACAAAGTCTATTCACCCCCCCTCTAGACTTTGTATTTCACCACTTTGGGACCACCAAGGTGTGTGACTATGATCACCTGGGATATCTAAACTGAGCAGGTAAGAAGAGATTGAGAGCTCAAAATGCACTAACGAGGTGGGGGAGGAGTTAAAACACACAACTGCTTTGTCCAAAAAAGGAGGAGGTGGGGGAAGAGATAATCTAAGAGAGTCAAAAGCCACCTTAAAGTAGGAGGTTACGCCCAAACCTTGGTTTCCTTCTGGAATATTGATCCAAACCTTTCCATCCCGGTGGAATTCACTAAGTCTAAAGTGGTTACCGATTCTAGAGGCTTGGAACGAGACTGAAAGCAATCTCTTGTTCTCCCTCTGTTGAGAGGATCGTATGTATCCCTCTTGAGTGACAGATTGGAGATTATCCAGTAGCCAAGGACAAAGGTCTAAACCTAGCCATATATTCAGCTTCCTGCTCCTCTAAATTTCTGTAATACATATCTTCTTATTGAATTTTGAAGGCGTAAAGAGAAAAGTCTTACCTTCAATTCGGAACTTTTGAGTTTTAGAGATTGCTATTGATTGGCAGGGATTTTTGTTTCCATCTCTGATTGACGGAATCCCCCTTAAGATGTCAGCGTAGCTATCTCTGTTGGTATGAATCTCAATTGAAGACTTTGACGGGGCTGAATCATCCTTGGAAGAGGAAGAGATTTGTCCATTCACCGGTTCTGTATAAAAAAAGTGTTGAGGTTTGAGGATTGGCGGAGCAGATGAGGGGTGGCGGTGAGTTTGTAAAGAATTCAGACCTGAACGATTTGCTGGGAGTGGAGTTCCGGTCACTAAATTGGAGCGTAGAAAGCTCTCACCTCTCTCTACAGATCTCGCCATTTATATGTTATATATATATATATATATATATATATATATATATATATATATATATATATATATATATATATATATATATATATATATATATATATATATATATATATATATATATATATATATATATATATATATATATATATATATATATATATATATATATATGTTAATCACATCACCTCAGATGCTGCAGAGCAAAGAGCAGGATATTTTGCTTCAGTGGAGGATTTAGAGACATGACTTTATTTCTCTCAACTTTAGGAAATAAGATTTGGACCAAGGTAGATTAGTATCCAATAATAGAATGTCTATCTATCATATCATTTTCCCAATCTAATATATATATATATATATATATATATATATATATATATAAAAGGTGGTTTGGGTCTTAGAGATTTACATGAACTTCAGAAGGCCTACTCAATCAAACTATGGTGGAACTACAGACATAGCAGTTCAAAGTGGGCACATTTCATGAGAGCTAAATATGGAACTCTAAGTTTCGAGGAAAAACTCACTGATTCTCCTACAAGGAAGAGGATTTGCAGAATACACATTAAGGCAGAAGAGTACCTTGGTGATCTCACAAGGGAGCTGGAAGAGGAAGACGAAAATGAAGAAATTCATATGTCCATCAAGCAGGCATTTGAATACTGCAGAAGTCAAAACAACTTTCAGCTCAGTGACAAATTCAATTGGAATACACTTCAAATTCCTAAAGTACAGATGTTCCTATGGAAAGCAAACAATAATATATTACCATTCCCGGAAGCACTTGGCTCAATTGGATATTGTCTGCCTTCCAGATGTCCTTTCTGCCACAATGCAGAAATGAACATTGATTATTGTCTACTACAATGCAATAAGATTAGGGGGATTTAGGAGAAACTAGCAAGCATTTGCGAAGGGCCAGAATTAAAAGAAGGAATTTCACTAAAGCAGCATGTGATGGAATGGAATTTAAGATCAGATACTAAAACTTTGAGAGGAGTTATGAAGCTTATATTACCAGGAATGATATCTTGGTCAATTTGGAAGCACTATGCAGAAATTACCTTTGGAAATGAGAAGGAGAACATCACTGCCATTACTCAGATGCTAAAGAAAATCCTAACCACATGGAGCTGGAAATACAAACATAAGGGGTGCATGATTAAGGATAATACATTGATGGATTTGGGGTTATAGACATTCGCTTTGAGCGGGGAAACTATTCTTATGGCGGCAAACGGCAATTGAAGATGTTTGGAATGGATTCTTGTTTTTTTTGTTAAATATGATTGTAATTTCTCGTCTTGCCTTTCGGGGCGTTGGTCTAGTCCTCCCCGAACGTGTTGTAAAATTTCTACATTAATATATATATATATATATATATATATATATATATATATAGATTTTGGTTCAGGTGAGAATGCAATCTAATGAAAGCAATAAGAATGAATCTGGTGCATTAGATTGGGAGATCTAAGGGTTAGGATTGCATCAAAATTAGGTGCACCAAGATGGTTTGAAAATGCATCATGTCGAAATGCACCATAATCCTTTGAAAATGCACTATCTCAAAATTTGAGTGCAGAATGCAATCTGAGCCGCACGATGCATCAGATCCAAAGGCCAGATTTTATTCTTATTTCTTTCACCAAGGTGCATTCTCACTTGAACCAGCCCCTATATATATATATATATATATATATATATATATATATATATATATATATATATATATATATATATATATATATATATATATATATATATATATATATATATATATATATATATATATATATATATATATATATATATATATATATCTGTGTGTGTGTGTGTGTGTGTGTTAATCACATCACCTCAGATGATGCAGAGTAAAGAGCAGGATATTTTGCTTCAGTGGAGGATTTAGAGACATAACTTTATTTCTCTCGACTTTAGGAAATAAGATTTGGACCTAGGTAGATTAGTATCCAATAATAGAATGTCTATCTATCATATCATTTGCCCAATCTAAGTTAGAGAAGACATGTAGAGCCAAAAGACTTTTTCGAAAAATTAAGCCATGGTTGAGAGTGCCTTCAATGAGTAGAAGGATCCGCTTAAGGGAGTGGAAATCCTACTTGGTGGGTGCATGCATGCGCTGACAAACATAATTTATAGCAAAACTGAATATTATGTCTAATTTTGGTGAGATAATAAGGAGCACCAACCAGGTTGCCGTAAAAAGTCAGAATTTCAAAAGGAGTGTCAGTGCCATCATCTCTTTGGCGAACGACAATAGGAGTCGAGAACAACTTGTAGTCAAGTTGAGAGAAAGTATCTCTCTCGGTTGAGTGTATTGGTGTTGCTAGACACGTTGAGAGAAAGTATCTCTCTCGGTTGATTCAAAGGAAGGGTTGTTTCCTTTGAAGGATTCGTTGAGGTTCGTGTGACTCGAACTCTCAAGTTGTAAGGGTTTGTTAAGCACCGTTAAGCTTAACGAGATAGTAGTGTAGCTCGAGAGAGTCTCTTTCAAAAGGCTGGATTAGCCACAAGTTGTGGTGAACCAGGGTAAATTTGGTGTGCCTCTTACTCTTCTCTTTACATCTCTTTTGAATTTTTTTTAATTCCTGCGATTTCTACGATCAAACGCTATTCACCCCCCCCCTCTAGCGTTGGTCTATTATTCTAACAATTGGTATCGGAGCCTAACTCGCGTCCAAACTTAACCGTTTGAGAGTAAAGCGATCATGGGTTCTTCTTCTAGAAATCTCTATGCACGAATTGGAGAAGGTCAGTCTACGTCTAGGCCACCACTATTTGATGGCACAAACTATTCCTATTGGAAGGAACGGATGAGAATCTATATCCGTTCCACCAACTTCCAATTATGGTTGGTCATCAAAAATGGAGAGCAAATCCCAATGAAGAAAGTAGGAGAAACCACGGTCCCAAAACCGAGGACGAATTTGATGCCGAGGACATCAAAAAGGTGGAGAACTACGCCAAGGCAATCAACATGCTGTACTGTGCCGTCAATCCTGATGATTATCGCAAGATCTCTTGCTGCACCACTGCAAAAGAAATGTGGGACAAGCTGGAAGTCACATATGAAGGTACAGACCAAGTTCGGGAAGCCAAAATTGACTTCCTAACGCAGGAGTACAAGATGTTCAAGATGAAGGAAGGCGAAAAGATCGATGACATGTTCGATCGGTTCTCAAAGATCATCAACGACCTTCACGCTCTCAAGAAGACGTACGCCAACAAGGACCTTGTGAGGAAAATCCTGCGGAGTCTCACACCCGAATGGAGATCAAAGGCTGACGCAATCTACGAATCCATCAGAGTCTCCAATGTCACCATCGACGGGATAAGAGGTAACCTCAAAACTTATGAATCTACTATTCTAACTCCGTCTTTGGATGAACAAAAGAAGAAGGGAATAGCACTGAAAGCAACCAAGGAGACCGTGGAAGAAGACTCAAGCGATGAAGACAACGAGTTCGGACTCGTCATCAAGAAATTCCACAAATTTATGAAGAAGGAATTTGAGCGCAAAGGAAGAAAGAACGACGGTCCCCCGAAGTGCTATGGCTGTGGTGAGATAGGCCACATCAAGCCGAGGTGTCCAAAAGGAAAAAGCGGCAAGGACAAACCTGGCTTCAAAAAGCAACGCGCCTACATCTCATGGGGTGGCAACTCCGGGGATGAGTCAACGGATCAAGAAGAGGAAGAAGCCGCCAACCTCTGTCTCATGCCACACGAACACCACGTCAACGAAGTACAAGAGGTATGTACCCCTTCTTCCGACTCTTACACTTTTGAAGAGATGCAAGAAGCTCTTCGAAAGCTTTATGATGAATTTGTTAGCGCTTCTAAAACCAACAAATCATTAAAGAAACGTCTTTCAACTCTTGAAAATGATTTTGAAAAACTGGAAAAAGATAATGAAAAGTTGAAACAAGAAAATAAATTTTATGGTAAAAGAAGTGCTGACAAACCGGAAAGCTCTTCAAGTGAATGTGAATCTTGCAAAGCTTTAAAAGAAAAAGTTGCAAAACATGAGAGTACGGTTAAGAAGTTTAATACACCACACAAGGATCTTAATTTACTTCTAGACACTATGCATTTTTCTAAGGAAGGAATAGGTTTTGATAAAAATGGATCTAAGGATAAAAACGTTGAGCATACACCTAGACAACCTACTAAGGCTCAACGCAAGAAAGTTAAAAATCAGGATAATAGAAAATCTAGTCAACCT